AGATATGAGTCCATAGCTATTAAAATATATTGGCCTGTTGTTGTTGTGGCTAGATTGGTAGACATAAGAATGTCTTGTTTCAAGTCATCACCGTCAATATTTTGCACATAAACGATGAGCACGGATTCGTCTGACACTGTTGTTGTTTCATCCAACTGAATGGCAAAGGGAACATTCCTAAGCTTCTCGTGCAGCTGGTTTTGACAATCTTCAGCCATTTGATCAATTCGGTCTTTGACAGTGTTGTCAGAGAGTGGGACAGTTCTCACTTTATCCACCACCTGTGGGCCACAGCCTCTACAATTTTCAGGCAGGCAGGTTTGATTAGCTGCTCTCCAATATTGTGCGGCTTTTTAGCCTTTTAGCAATTAATAGCGAACACTCAACTGATGCCTCCGTGGCTCTGTGTAAATCACTGCCTGCTCTTTCAAATGCTTTTCTGATGTCTATGGGTCTTTTTGATAGTGCCAACTGCTTCTTCCTCTCAAAAAAATCCTGACCTTCACCAATAGTCTCCTGGTGTTTTGTTTCCTGGTGTCGTTGCATTTTGCTTGGCTTCATGCTGTCATTAGCTAGCTTCTCGCCACAAATGACACATTCTGGCCGAGTCCTGTCCTTCAATAAAACCGAAGTTCAGATAACTCTGGAGATATAGCCTTACTTTCTTTTTTGATGATGAGTCATCAGCACTTTTACGTTTCTTAGACATGTTGTTTTATTTATAAAATAGTGATGCTCTGACTGCAGGAAAAACGAGCTGCTAGCTGAAACTGATTGAGCGCGGGTCATTGACGTGCACAAATTTCTTTGGGGGAACTACCGCTTTTACGTTTCTCTACCATTATTATTTTTTAGCTTGGCCTTGGCATTGCAAGCATATGATTTTTAATAACATTTTAAAATGTATTAATTTTACAATTACATTATAGTGGAACATTTTATGCATGGTTGACCTCAAAGCAAATGAGATCACTGTCACACCCTGGTTCTGGGACTCATTATGTTGAGCCAGGGTGTGTGCAGTCTATGGTGTTTTGTTCTATGTTGGGTGTCAAAGTGGTGATTTTCTAGGTTTGGTCAATGACTCCCAATCGGAGGTAACGAGTGTCAGCTGTCGGCTCGTTATCTCTGATTGGGAGCCATATTTATTTCTGTATGTTTTCCTGTGGGGTTTGTGGGTTATTGTTCCGTGTTTCAGTATTTGTACTGTGGACTTCACGAGTCGTCTTTTGTTTTGTATTTTACGTGCTTACTCTAATTAAAGTCATGTTCATTCAACGCGCTGCGCTTTGGTCTCCTTCACTCCTAGACGATCGTGACAGAATAACCCACCAAAGAAAGACCAAGCAGCGCGTCCAGGAGCAACAGGATCCACCTACACAGGATTTATATCCACCCATAAAGGATTCATGGACATGGGAGGAGATTCTGGATGGTAAGGGACCTTGGGCACAACCGGGAGAATATCGCCGTCCTCGGGAAGAGCTGGAGGCAGCTAAAGCCGAGAGGCGGCGATATGAGGAGGCAGCACGGAGGCAAGACTGGAAGCCTGTGGGTACTACCCAAGAATTTCTTGGGGGGGGGCTAAGAGGGAGTGTGGCGAAGTCAGGTAGGAGACCTGCGCCTACTCCCTGGACTGACCGTGGAGAGCGAGAGTACGGGCAGACACCGTGTTACGCAGTTGAGCGCATGGTGTCTCCTGTACGCAGGCATAGCCCGGTTCGGTACAGTCCAGCTCCACGTATCGGCCGGGCCAGATTGAGTGTTGAGCCGGATGTCATGAGGCCGGTCCCACGCAGCAGGTCACCAGTGCGTCTCCTCGGGCCGGCGTACATGGCACCAGCCTTACGCATGGTGTTCCCGGTTCGCCCACATAGGCCGGTGCGGGTTATTCCACCTCCCCGTACTGGTCGGGCGACGGGGAGCATCAACCCAGGTAAGGTTGGGCAGGCTCAGTGCTCAAGGGAGCCAGTACGCCTGCACGGGCCGGTATTTCCGGCGCCACCTCCTCGCTCCAGCCCAGTACCACCAGTACCTACACCACGCACCAGGTTTCCTGTGCGTCTTCAGAGCCCTGTGTCTCCTCCACGCACTGGCTCGATGGTGCGTGTCTCCAGCCCTTTACCACCAGTGCATACACCACGCACCAAGCCTCCTGTGTGTCCCCAGAGTCCTGTGCGTCCTGTTGTTGCTTCCCGCACTAGCCCTGAGATGCGTGTCCTCAGCCCGGTACCTCCTGTTCCGGCACCACGCACCAGGCCTACGATGCGCCTCAGACGGCCAGAGTCGGCCGTCTGCCCAACGGCGCCTGAACTGTCCGTCTGCCCAACGCCGTCTGAACGGCCCGTCTGCCCAACGGCGCCTGAACTGTCCGTCTGCCCAACGCCGTCTGAACTGCCCGTCTGCCCAACGCCGTCTGAACTGCCCGTCTGCCCAACGCCGTCTGAACTGTCCGTCTGCCCAACGCCGTCTGAACTGCCCGTCTGTACTGAGCCTGCAAAGCCGCCCGTCTGCCATGAGCCTTCAGAGCCGTCCGCCAGACCGGAGCCGCTAGAGCTCTCCGCCAGACCGGATCAGCCAGAGCCTTCCGCCAGACCGGATCAGCCAGAGCCATCCGCCAGACAGGATCAGCCAGAGCCTTCCGCCAGACAGGATCAGCCAGAGCCTTCCGCCAGACAGGATCAGCCAGAGCCGTCCGCCAGACCGGATCAGCCAGAGCCTTCCGCCAGACAGGATCAGCCAGAGCCTTCCGCCAGACAGGATCAGCCAGAGCCTTCGGCCAGACAGGATCAGCCAGAGCCTTCGGCCAGACCGGATCAGCCAGAGCCTTCCGCCAGACCGGATCAGCCAGAGCCTTCCGCCAGACAGGATCAGCCAGAGCCTTCGGCCAGACCGGATCAGCCAGATCCGTCGGCCAGCCATGAGCAGCCAGATCCTTCAGCCAGCCATGAGCCGTTCAGCCAGGATCCGCCAGAGCCGTCCAGCCAGGATCCGCCAGAGCCAGCCAGCCAGGATCCGCCATTGAGTCAGGTGCTGCCCCTTAGTCCGGTGCTGCCCCTTAGTCCGGTGCTGCCCCTTAGTCTGGTGCTGCCCCTTAGTCGGGTGCTGCCCCTTAGTCCGGTGCTGCCCCTTAAACCGGTGGGGGTCATTTGGAGGAACCTACGTAAGCGGGTAGTGACTATGGTGGGGTGGTGGTCTAGGCCGGAGCCAGAACCGCCACCGAGGAGGTATGCCCGCCCAGCCCTCCCCTGTTTGGGGGTTTTGAGGCGCGGTCGCAGTCCGCGCCTTTAGGGGGGGGTACTGTCACACCCTGGTTCTGGGACTCATTATGTTGAGCCAGGGTGTGTGCAGTCTATGGTGTTTTGTTCTATGTTGGGTGTCAAAGTGGTGATTTTCTAGGTTTGGTCAATGACTCCCAATCGGAGGTAACGAGTGTCAGCTGTCGGCTCGTTATCTCTGATTGGGAGCCATATTTATTTCTGTATGTTTTCCTGTGGGGTTTGTGGGTTATTGTTCCGTGTTTCAGTATTTGTACTGTGGACTTCACGAGTCGTCTTTTGTTTTGTATTTTACGTGCTTACTCTAATTAAAGTCATGTTCATTCAACGCGCTGCGCTTTGGTCTCCTTCACTCCTAGACGATCGTGACAATCACAAGCCCCCCTTTGAACTCTGGCGCCCCCCTAAGAGGGGCCCGGACCCCAGGTTGGGAACCACTGATTTAGAGAATCTGTCCACAACAACCATAATAGTGGTGAAACCATCAGATGGAAGGAGATCAGTAACTAAGTCTATGGACAGATGGGACCAAGACCGCAGAGGCACAGGAAGGGGAAGGAGTTTCCCTGCTGGAGCGTGCCTGGGAGATTTGGTTTGGGCACATACGGAGCAGGAGTTGACATAGCGGGCGACGTCCTGCACCAAGGTGGGCCACCAGTACATAGTGGAGATGGATTGAATGGTGAGGGTGATAGCTGGGTGTCCAGCAGCGAGGGATGTGTGCGCCCAGGTCAAGAGCCGATCCCTTACCCCCCGTGGGGACGTAGATGCGCTCAGGAGGGCAGTTAGTAGGCGCGGGTTCCCTTTCCAGAGCCTGGCGGATGTCCACATCTATGTCCCAAAACACGGGGCCAACGATACCGGAGGACGGAATGATGGGCTGGAGGGCACCTACAGGACTCTCAACTGATGTGGAACCACAGGGTACGGGAAAGCAGGTCTTCCGGCATCCTGGTGCCCAGGCGGTGATTTTCATCCTCGACCAGGAGGTGGTGGGGTTATGACGTTGGAGCCACGGGAGGCCGAGGATGACTTTGTGTACGGGTGGATCCTCTCGGGTGGTGTCAAGGCGGTGGAGGGCGTGGAGGACCTCATCCATAGCCACACCCAGTTGCGCCAGCTGTTCGTGGTGTTGGCGGAGTAGGTGTCCCTGTTCACCGACCGTCTGGGGGATGTCTTTCTCTTCTGCTGCTTCCATAGTATGTGAGGCAGTATTCTGTAATGTAATCGCTGGGAGTCAGGAAGCAGGTACAGAAGGTGAGTTTAATAATAATAAAAGGCAGATAAACAAAAACAGGAAAAGCGTACTGAACGAGACAAAACCAATACTACCTGATGACTGAGGCTACTGAGGGCTAAATAAAGGGAGCATAATCAAGGTGATGATGAGGTCCAGGTGTGCATAATGATGGGGAGCAGGTGTGCGTAATGATGGTGCCAGGACCGGTGGTTGGTAGACCGGCGACGTCGAGCGCTGGAGAGGGGGAGCGGAAGTAGGTGTGACAGTCAGACTCTTTAATGCCAATTATCTCAACATCTTAGACCCCAAAGGTTGTTAATCAACACATTTTATGGTCATCTGACTTGTAATATTTTCTTAGGGTGCTGAAAGCCATTGGCGAATGTATTGAAAGTGACCAATTTGCACTGGAAATCACCTGTCACACAGATCACAGGTCAACCTATATGAATTACAGCACTTTTATAACTATGATACAATTCTTATAAACGGCTGGAAACTGGAAAAAGATACTCAATGCTTTTTAATAAAATAAAACAATACATCAACTATTGACTGAATTATAGCACATTGACCATTGTATAATTAGGTCCAGATAATGAATGGAATTCAGACAGGTTCGGTGATCATTCATGTATTCAATTTAATTTAAAATATATATTTGTATTTTTCTTATAAACGACTCAAACAAAAGCTACTTCAAAAAAGAAAATACATCAACAGCAAAACTACAGGATACCCTCAAAATAAATATGTCAATGAAAATAAACAAGACAGCCTACAAAAATATTAACACCACCATACCATTTTATTTAACCTTTATTTAAACAGGGAGTCATTTTGAGATCCAGGTCTCTATTTTAAATGGATCCTGTAATACATAAAATACACATAATACATATGAAATATAATCAATAAATGCTAATACAATCATCAACCAGTTGTTATAAAAATATACAATATTACAAACTATTTAAGAAGAAAACACATTCCTCAATAACAACTTGAACTGCCCTAGAGGCAACAGAGCATCAGGGTGCAGAGAGCTCTGCAGATCATTCCATACACTGGGCGCAAAAAAAACTGAATGCAGATTTACTTATTTCTGTACTGATCAACCGGAACTATAAAATTAACCATCTCTGTGATCGGGACTGGCGACTTGTATGTCTGGAGTATGGCGGAAGTTTGCACAACAGGGTTTTATAAACGAAAATAGAGCACTGCATTGATCTACGAGATTTAAGAGAGGGCCAGCCTACTTTTGTGTACTTAACCTGTCGCCTGTAATAAAGCGTAGTGCACTATGATAAACTGCATCTAATGTGTTTGTGATGGACATTTTAATGATTATATTTGAGATTCTTCAAAGTAGCCACCCTTTGCCTTGATGACAGCTTTGCACACTCTTGGCATTCGTTACCTGTATAAAATACATCTCGATTTCTGGTGGCTGGGACTCTTCCATCCCTGCCTCGATCTCTGGTGGCTGCGTCTCTTCCATCCCTGCCTCGATCTCTGGTGGCTGGGACTCTTCCATCCCTGCCTCGATCTCTGGTGGCTGCGTCTCTTCCATCCCTGCCTCGATCTCTGGTGGCTGCGTCTCTTCCATCCCTGCCTCGATCTCTGGTGGCTGGGTCTCTTCCATCCCTGCCTCGATCTCTGGTGGCTGCGTCTCTGCCATCCCTGCCTCGATATCTGGTGGCTGGGTCTCTTCCATCCCTGCCTCGATCTCTGGTGGCTGCGTCTCTGCCATCCCTGCCTCGATCTCTGGTGGCTGGGTCTCTTCCATCCCTGCCTCGATCTCTGGTGGCTGGGTCTATCCCATCTCTACCTCAATCTCTGGTGGCTGGGTCTCTCCCATCTCTACCTCAATCTCTGGTGGCTGGGTCTCTGCCATCCCTGCCTTGGTCACTGATGACTGGGTGGCAGGAGTTTTCCTCTTCTTATGATCCTTAGAGTTAAGAATATTGGTGTGCTTTATAGATGCCATTTTTTTCTGGTGTTTACTCCTATGGAATGACTAGCGAAGCTGTAATCAGTTGGCTAGGCTGATAGTGGGGTCTGGTTATAGAAGATAGAGATACTCACTCAGGAGTTGTAGAATTTGGACACAACAACAGATACAGTGGGGAGAACAAGTATTTGATACACTGCCGATTTTGCAGGTTTTCCTACTTACAAAGCATGTAGAGGTCTGTAATTTTTATCATAGGTACACTTCAACTGTGAGAGACGGAATCTAAAACAAAAATCCAGAAAATCACATTGTATGATTTTTAAGTAATTAATTTGCATTTTATTGCATGACATAAGTATTTGATACATCAGAAAAGCAGAACTCAATATTTGTTACAGAAACCTTTGTTTGCAATTACAGAGATCATACATTTCCTGTAGGTCTTAACCAGGTTTGCACACACTGCAGCAGGGATTTTAGTCCTACTCCTCCATACAGACCTTCTCCAGATCCTTCAGGTTTCGGGGCTGTCGCTGGGCAATATGGACTTTCAGCTCCCTCCAAAGATTTTCTATTGGGTTCAGGTCTGGAGACTGGCTAGGCCACTCCAGGACCTTGAGAGGCTTCTTACGGAGCCACCCCTTAGTTGCCCTGGCTGTGTGTTTCGGGCCGTTGTCATGCTGGAAGACCCAGCCAACCCATTTTCAATGCTCTTACTGAGGGAAGGGGCCAAGATCTCGCGATACATGGCCCCATCCATCCTCCCCTCAATACGGTGCAGTCGTCCTGTCAGAATTTTAATCCATGACGGCGTAGTGTGTTACTAATGGTTTTCTTTGAGACTGTGGTCCCAGCTCTCTTCCGGTCATTGACCAGGTCCTGCCGTGTAGTTCTGGGCTGATCCCTCACCTTCCTCATGATCATTGATGCCCCACGAGGTGAGATCTTGCATGGAGCCCCAGAACATCTTCCATTTTCTAATAATTGCGCCAACAGTTGTTGCCTTCTCACCAAGCAGCTTGCCTATTGTCCTGTAGCCCATCCCAGCCTTGTGCAGGTCTACAATTTTATCCCTGATGTCCTTACACAGCTCTCTGGTCTTGGCCATTGTGGAGAGGTTGGAGTATGTTTGATTGGTGTGGACAGGTGTCTTTTATACAGGTAACGAGTTCAAACAGGTGCAGTTAATACAGGTAATGAGTGGAGAACAGGAGGGCTTCTTAAAGAAAAACTAACAGGTCTGTGAGAGCCGGAATTCTTACTGGTTGGTAGGTGATCAAATACTTATGTCATGCAATAAAATGCTAATTAATTACTTAAAAATCATACAATGTGATTTTCTGGATTTTTGTTTTAGATTCCGTCTCTCACAGTTGAAGTGTACATATGATAAAAATTACAGACCTCTACATGCTTTGTAAGTAGGAAAACCTGCAAAATCGGCAGTGTATCAAATACTTGTTCTCCCCACTGTGTAAGTTTCCTGAAACTCCAGTTTATTGCACATATGCGGTGGGCGCTCTAGGTCCAGCGCCACGGGATAAGAGCTCAACTGTGACACAGCACTAACGCGAGTACACCATATTGTTCACTATAAAACCACATAAGGTGGGGTCAACACAGCCGGAAGTCCCACTGTAACAATATGCTTGTGAAATATGTCTGTTTATGCATGTCTTGGTTTAACATATTACTCATATTTGATAAACAACAATTAAGATGCAACTTTACAGATTTCTGTCGCCGCAGTCCAGGGATTCTGCTGGGGTCATATTTACACCAACTGGAGGAAATATCCAGACATCTGGCGTCATGGGCCGGCCACTTTTTGGATGGTCCTCGAATACAAACAAATGAAAATCAAATGTAGCTACACTACTGGGGATACATCATGCAACATATCTACAATTTAACAATTCAGGTTTCAGGTTCCTCTGCACAAGCCTCCTCACTTAGCTCCTGAACCTCTCCACGAGCCTCGTCTTCATGCGCCTCATCTCCATGCGCCTCCTCTTCACGCCCCTCCTCTCCGCGCCTCTCCTCTCCACACGTCTTGTCTCCACAGCCCTTCTCTCCATGGCCCTCCTCTCCACGTGCATCCTCTCTTCTTGGCTCCTGAACTTCTTCATAGAGAGAGAAATATGATTAGATACATACGTAATTGATCAGATACATCATGCAACATATCTACAATTATACATTTCCAGTTTGAATAGTTATTAATGCTATCAGACACACTGCAAAATCAGTCTTACCTTAAGATGATGTTGCAGATATTGCCCTCCCCTTAACTCCAAGGTAATTTATGACCTGCCCTGTGGGTACTATGTATCTTCATTCAACCCTGCCTATAATAAGTATTTAATAAGTACTTACTATACCTGCTCTTATACTTGTAGCTATGTTGTATGTAAAGTAATTATATAACATGTACTGTATGTAGGACAGTATACACTATTCAACCATGGTTCTGTAGATCCGTGGGTTAAGCAGGCTTGAGGTCAAGCCCAGCACTTACAAACCCTCCAGTGTGTTAGTCCTCATAGTGTTAGTTGGGACAAAAGCCTACACACCCAGTGGCTCTTCAGGAATAGGGTTGGTGACCAATGCCCTACATGCCATGAAATGTTAGGAAAGCCTATAATGTTACTTTATGGCAGAGAGTGTAATTATCTTGGCTTTGGCTTAAAACCACTCAAAACTACATAAGTCTTGGTCTGGGCCTTGACTCAGTCAGAGCCCAGGGTTTTGGTCCATTGGCACTAATCCTTAAAACCCAAATCAAGCCCTAACCCCTAAGAACTACCTTCAAGCCCAGGAACGGTGACAATGTTATACCTAAACGAGCTTGCTCTTGACTCTGACACCGATCATCTCTGCAATATACAGTTGAAGTTGGAAGTTTACTTACACCTTAGCCAAATACATTTAAACTCAGTTTTTCACAATTCCTGACATTTAATCCTAGTAACAATTCCCTGTTTTAGGTCAGTGAGGATCCCCACTTTATTTTAAGAATGTGAAATGTGAAAATATTTATTTCATCACATTCCCAGTGGGTCAGAAGTTTACATACACTCAATTAGTATTTAGTAGCATTGCCTTTAAATTGTTTAACTTGGGTCAAACATTTCGGGTAGCCTTCCACAAGCTTCCCACAATAAGTTGGGTGAATTTTGGCCCATTCCTCCTGACAGAGCTGGTGTTACTGAGTCAGGTTTGTAGGCCTCCTTGCTCGCAAACGTTTTTTCAGTTCTGCCCACAAATTTTCTATAGGATTGAGGTCAGGACTTTGTAAAGGCCACTCCAATACCTTGACTTTGTTGTCCTTAAGCCATTTTGCCACAACACTGGAAGTATGCTTGGGGTCATTGTCCATTTGGAAGACTCATTTGCGACCAAGCTTTAACTTCCTGACTGATGTCTTGAGATGTTGCTTCAATATATCCACATAATATTCCTTCCTCATGATGCCATCTATTTTGTGAAGTGCACCAGTCCCTCCTGCAGCAAAGCACCACCACAGCATGATGCTGCCACCCCCGTGCTTCACGGTTGGGATGGTGTTCTTCGGCTTGCAAGCACCCCCTTTTTCCTCCAAACATAATGATGGTCATTATGGCCAAACAGTTCTATTGTTTCATCAGACCAGAGGACATTTCTCCAAAAAGTACGATCTTTGTCCCCATGTGCAGTTGCAAACCACAGTCTGGCTTTTTTATGGTGGTCTTGGAGCAGTGGCTTCTTCCTTGCTGAGCGGCCTTTCAGGTTATGTCGATATAGGACTCGTTTTACTGTGGATATAGATACTTTTGTACCTGTTTCCTCCAGCATCTTCACAAGGTCCTTTGCTGTTGTTCTGGGATTGATTTGCACTTTTCGCACCAAAGTACATTCTCTAGGAGACAGAATGCGTCTTCTTCCTGAGCGGTATGACGGCTGCGTGGTCCCATGGTGTTTATACTTGCGTACTATTGTTTGTATAGATGAACGTGGTACCTTCAGTCGTTTGGAAATTGCTCCCAAGGATGAACCAGACTTGTGGAGGTCTACAATTTTTTGTCTGAGGTCTTGGCTGATTTCTTTTGATTTTCCCATGATGTCAAGCAAAGAGTCACTGAGTTTGAAGGTAGGCCTTAAAATACATCCACAGGTACACCTCCAATTGACTCAAATTATGTCAATTAGCCTATCAGAAGCTTCTAAAGCCATGACATCATTTTCTGAAAATGTCCAAGCTGTTTAAAGGCACAGTCAACTTAGTGTATGTAAACTTCTGACCCACTGGAATTGTGATACAATGAATTATAAGTGAAATAATCTGTCTGTAAACAATTGTTGGAAAAATTACTTGTGTCATGCACAAAGTAGATGTCCTAACTGACTTGCCAAAACTGTAGTTTGTTAACAAGAAATGTGTGGAGTGGTTGAAAAACTAGATTTAATGACTCCAACCTAAGTGTATGTAAACTTCCATCCAGGCAGGTAGCTAGGCATACATGCAGGTAAATATAATGTAAAACCACTTCTAACACTCTTTCCCTTGTTAAACACTTTAAATCTGCATTAACGTTAGCTAAGTTAACGTTACCGATCAGTATCACCCTATAGCTAGCTAGCTAGCTAGATAATGTTAGCTAACAGTTAACCAAGCTGATCGTTTTGTGTACAGATACATTTGTGAACATCGTATTCAGCTTTGCTTTTTTAAATTCACAAAACTTGAAATATTTTTGGTTGCAAATTGTCTGACTAGCTAGCTAGTTATCTATCTATCTATACCTATTGCTGATGATCCACTGTCATCCATGGTGTGTTGCTGCTAGCTACACTGTATATATACAAAAGTATACGGACACCCCTTCAAGTTAGTGGTTTCGGCTATTTCAGCCACACCTGTTGCTGACAGGTGTATAAAATCGAGCACACAGCCATGCAATCTCCATAGACAAACATTGGCAGTAGAATGGCCTTACTGAAGAGCTAAGTGACTTTCAACGTGGCACCATCATAGGATGCCTCCTTTCGAACATGTCAGTTCGTAAAATGTCTGCCCTGCTAGAGCTGCTCCAGTCAACTGTAAGTGCTGTTATTGTGAAGTGAAAACGTCTAGGAGCAACAACGGCTCAGCCGTGAAGTGGTATGCCACACAAGCTCACAAAACGGGACCGCCGAGTGCTGAAGTGCATAGCGCGTAAAAATCGTCTGTCCTTGGTTGCAACACTCACTACTGAGTTCCAAACTGCCTCTGGAAGCAACGTCAGTACAAGAACTGTTTGTCAGGAGCTTCATGAAATGGGTTTCCATGGCCGAGCAGCCGCACACAAGCCTAAGATCACCATACACAATGCCAAGCGTCGGCTGGAGTGGTGTAAAGCTCGCCGTCATTGGCCTCTGGAGCAGTGGAAACGCGTTCTCTGGAGTGATGAAGCACGCTTCCCAATCTGGCAGTCCGACGGACGAATCTGGGTTTGGGGGACGCCAGGAGAACGCTACCTGCCCGAATTCATAGTGCTAACTGTAACGTTTGGTGGAGGCGAATAATGGTCTGGGGCTGTTTTTCATGGTTCGGGCTAGGCCCCTTAGTTCCAGTGAAGGGAAATCTTAATGCTACAGCATACAATGACATTGTAGACGATTCTGCGCTTCCAACTTTGTGGCAACAGTTTTGGGAAGGACCTTTCCTGTTTCAGCATTACAATGCCCCCTTGCACAAAGCGAGGTCCATACAGAAATGGTTTGTTGAGATCGGTGTGGAAGAACTTGACTGGCCTGCGCAGAGCCCTGACCTCAACCCCATCTAACACCTTTGGGATGAATTGGAACCCTGAGCCAGGCCTAATCGCCTAACATCAGTGCCCAACCTCACTAATGCTCTTGTGGCTGAATGGAAGCAAGTCCCTGCAGCAATGTTCCAACATCTAGTGGAAAGCCTTCCCAGAAGAGTGGAGGCTGTTATGGCAGCAAAGAGGGGGACCAACTCCATATTAATGCCCATGATTTTGGAATGAGATGTTCGACGAGCAGGTGTCCACATACTTTTGGTCATGTAGTGTATGTCTCATCTACCGGTAGTAGCTAGCTAGCTAACTAGATTCAAAAAGCATAAACAAATCGTTAGGACCAATGAGAGTAGAGCTACCGTTTTCGTGTCACATACGCATGTCCATATATGGCATTGTGTTGGCAGCCATATACCTCAAAAGATGACTTGAAGGAAATTGTCATCGCAAGGACAAGAACCGAGAGTGAAAGAAAGTTGTTTAACCAAAGAAACTTTATGATTGGATGCAAACATTAACTTAATGCTTTCAAAAAATATATATTTACGTGCATCGCTTTACTTTCGCCTACAATATATAACGTTTTTTTTTCATTTACATCCTTTTTTATTTTGTGCCTTAAAAGTCCAATTGTATCCAGATTCATGGACGATTACATTGTTGAGTCAAGTGCATAAAAGAATGCAATCCAAATAATGATTTTGATTGTTAATCAGTTTTCACTTAACAAAGTGTTTAAAATCTAACACTTCAACACATTTCTTCAAGACAAGGATGTATTTTCTTGCCTTTTAGAATGAGGGCAGAAATATTTAATGTCAATTCAGAGGTATTGTTTTTATAACAGCAACTCAACTAAAATATTTGAATGATCTTTCATTAATAAAAACGTAATGTGTGGCCTGAAACATACTAAAGCTGTTAAGAAACTGTTGATCATTTGAACGGATCAAGACAAAACAGCTGCTTTACAAGTGGGATGCACTGTTGAGAGCTACATCCCAAGGGGTTCGTGCTGATTGTACAGAGATTGTGACATCCCTTGAAAGGGCAAGAACAAGATGTATGTCAGGAGAAGTGCAGCATTATCATAAGGAGACGTGTACTTGGAATACGGAGGAGGAATGGAGGGGAAAAGAGAGGCAGAGGAGGTCGAAGAGAGAGAGGGAGGAAGAGGGTGAGTTTGAGTCGGTTAAAAATCGCGGGAAAAAGGGAGATGGTTTGTTAAAGAAGAATGGTAAAAAGTGTAAAAAAATGAGGGCTTAGTATCGGAGGGGGTAGGTGTGGTGAAGTTATCGGAGCCCGAGGCTTGCACGGAGGGTCAGGATAAAGATGAGTCTGTGACAGTAGGAGTGACCTTTTTGGAAAAATTGAACCCTTGCCTTTTGGCTGATCCATTTGTGGTTTCAGGGTGGGTGAAAACAGAGTTGGGTGGTGTGGAATCGGTGAAGGTAACCAGAAGTGGTATTGTGATAATTGTTTGTGTTACTGCTGGTCAGAGGAAGCAGGCGCTCCGCGTTAAACGAATGGGGACAAGAGAGGTGAATTGTTTTGCTCTCAAGGAAAGGGCGCCATTGAGTGGAGTGGTTACTGGAGTAGGGGTAAATGTGAAAGTTAACCAACTGAAGATAAAGTTTCCCGGTGTATGTGATGCTCGTCGTTTGGTGCGACGCAGACAGGATGGCGTGAGTGGTGAAACAGAAGAGTCGTTGTCGGTTCTTTTGATTTTTGATGTTGAGTCTTTGCCCGACAAAGTGATGTTAGGATATATAAGTTATCCCATTGGGGAAAGTAGTGGTACGTGTTAATTGTCGGGGTGCCCATGGGTCTGGGGATCAGAAATGTCCCGTGCGAGAGAGGCAGGTTGAGGTTTCCAGGGTTAGAGTAGTGCAGGAGTTGTCATATGCTGAGGCAGTGAAGAAAGTAGAGGAAGATGGGTCAAGGGGGAGGGATCCTGAGAGGAGTGGTGTGAGTAGTAGAACTGTACCAGTACAGAGGGATAGGCCAACAAGTGATATACGTTCCAGTAAGATTGCATTTTTAGCATTTATAGCAATGGTTATCAACTGTACTGCAGTGATGGAAAGTAAGTCGCAGAAAATTGAGGTGGTGGCTGCTACAAAGAGGTATTTGAGTGTGCGAGACTTGACGTCAGAAAAGTTACAGGGTGTGTTAAGTGGTGGTGTCCCATCCTTTCAGGCTGTTGGCCTGAGGTAGAATTAAATAGTGGAGTGGAGTAGTGGGTTTTTAGTGAGTGTAGGGTATTTGTTGATTTTTTAAATTTATTTTTTCAAGCAAAGTAAAAGGGAGTTATACTCCAGTCTACTAGGTGGCAGTAATGCAACAGTTATTGGATGCCAACCGCCGTTAAACCTCATCGAAGAAGAAGAAGATGATCGGTTGAACCACAGCCATAACAATGAGACAGATATTTCACTGGATGTATAAATGTGAAGCATCCGGTTGGCGTTTTCAATCACTACCAAATATGGCAGTGAGAGGAAGCCCACTGGTGGTCAGTGGGGGAAGATGGAACTAGATGGATTTTGGCCGACATTCTGCACATTTTCTCATCAATTAAACATTTGATCTCAATACAGTTTTTTGTTCCCAAAACTAGACTCTGTTATGAACAGAGTAGACTGCAAAAGGTTTTTAAAAATCGCGCTGTTTAGGAGTGCAAATGCAGATCGAGTTATTGCACACGCGCACTTCACAGAGTAGGCGTTCCCTAACGGAAATATGCAGATAGCTACTAGAACACGCCAATAGGATATCGCTAGCGCGTGCTTGGCTCTGCCCACCTCCTTGCTTGTTCTGCCCACTATTACTAATTTGTTCCAATTGTAAACGACAAGCTGTGGTCTATCTTGGTTTAGTTATACAAATATTTGGTTGAACTCGTCACTATCTTGGTTATGGAGTAGTGTTTTGCCACAAATGTCCGGTGGCGACTAGTTTGATCCAGTCTCCTGAACATGCGCAGTAGGTGTAAACAGGAAGAATCTGCGGAAACTAGGGCTTATCTAAAAGACTAATAGAGATATTCACTGGGAAAAATATATACTTTATGAATAGTAAATGTATTTTTTTAGTGTACAAGTATGTCAACAAATATGCAATATTACATGATATTATTCTAAATTCAGTATTTTAGCACAGCGTTAGACAGCATTGCCATCAACGTTAGCCAACGAGCAAGCTAACGTTACCTAGCCATATTTTTTTGACAGATTGACAACTGAAGCTAGCAAGCATCTAGCTGTCGTTTCGTTTTACTAGAAAATAGTTTGCATTAATCTAATTTGGACAGACAAGTCGAGCAATATTTTTTGTACGCTGAGGCCTGTGAGCAACGGGTATTATTAGTAAACTACACGGTTCATTTCCTCTCTCCTCCAAGTACTCGCGATGGCCTAACCCATCACCGGAATTTCAGGTCAAACTCCCCTCTTGTTCAAACACTGTTTTTTTTTCTCTCAACCCTGTCTGGTGCTACAACAGACCGTCTGTAGAAATGGTTCAGAAAGACACGGCGGTGGTGGAGACGTCTCAAGTGGAGACTGTGGCGAGCCCATGTTCGGGGCCATCTGAGGCTGGTTCCGAAGCACCTGGCCTCGTGGAAGAACCGATAAACATCGGGGTGGAGCTTTCGGTCCGCAGGAAATTCATCAGTGGAGTCGTGGAGGGTGAGCAGAACATATAACGTTATTGATTAATCAAGTTGATTTGTTATAGTTATTGTCTTTGTTTTTGATGCATACAGGATTGGCAGACTAGTCAGATGCAGAGAGAGTGGCAGACACATTTGCCAGTCAGCTAACCATTACTTTTACAGCTGAGCTTGCTACGTTTTAGAGACTAATTGTGATTATACAGGACAAAGTGTTAGCACTCTGTATTATACTATTAACAATATTTCAAGGTCGGTGACCCATCTGTAGGAATTATGAATGTCATTATGTTTAAACCGATCAGTATAGTTAATGGATTCTGAAAAAGCTTGATGTAGGGCCCTTGCCTGCAAACCGAACGTTGAATTGCATTGAATTCTACATCGGGCAGAAATGAGCGTTTTATCAGGAAAGTTTCTTCTCACAAGCATGTCAATTGCACACACCCTTAAATCTTGAGACATCTGTGGCATTGTGTTGTTTGACAAAACAGCACATTTGAGTTTACAAACCTTTCAAAGCGCTAGTAGTTACTTCAGATTTCTATTTCCTGAATCATGTGCACAAGATAAAAATGCATGCATACTTGCCGAGCTCGTGGTTCTGCGCATGCTTCAGGTGAACACATTACCAGCGCTTTGAAAAGTTGATGTAATTATACTTTCCTGTGGATATATTGTCTCACATTCCTACCACCAAAAGGACCAACGGCACTGTCTTCATGGCAAACGTGTGGCAGCTGAATGTACACAGCCAGGGGAATAGATAGGGGGGATGTCTGCAGACCTGAAATATTTGCTATGCGTGTTAAAACTGACTGTTTGATTACTTTTGTTTGCAACAGGCTTCTACGGCCGGCCATGGACAATGGAACAAAGGAAAGAGCTGTTCAGGAGGTAATATAATAGTTGTGTACAGCAGGCTGGCATATGGTGTTGACAAGTGCTCTATCATAATGGAATCAGTGAATGTACTGTAGTTTTCAATGAACGTTGTCAATATGTTCTGTGATAAATAAAGCAAACCATGTCACACAAAGCCTGTGTTAATCACAATATGTGTTGTGTTCCCCAGACAGCAGAAATGGGGCTTGAACACATACCTCTACGCTCCTAAAGATGACTACAAGCACAGGATGTTCTGGAGAGAGATGTACTCAGTAGAAGAAGCAGGTGAGATTCTCATCATGGCCATGGGTTGAAATGATTCCTGTCACATATACCTACATCCAAAAGTGCACAGGTGTTGCTGTTTGTGCTTGTTGCAATAGATATCTGCTCTGATGAATGAGCTTGCTCCGAAATGCGTCAGCATTAAAGGGAAGGTTGCACAATATATTTCGATAAATCTAGCAACTTAGATTGATGATATTCCATCTAAACGGTCTTTATGCAAAAGTTTATTTAAAAAATATTTATACACTTCTGTTTTCACAATTTGAATTACATTGATCAAAAACTCATATACCAACAATACATTGCGGCTTTGGCTTCATGAAAATAACTGGTAGTGGCGGAAGTGCACTGTTTACCGGCATTCATGTTTGGTCAAAATGCGAGTTGCTAGATGGGAAGAAAGTCGTACCTCTTCAGGCAGTCTGGGTCAGGGCTACCAACAGTGGAAGAGTGGATTCAACATCGGGCGGCAGGTAGCTTAGTGGGTAAGAGCGTTGTGCCAGTAACCGAAAGGTCGCTGGTTGTAATCCCCGAGCCGACTAGGTGAAAAATCTGTCTGTGCCCTTAAGCATGGCACTTAACCCTAATTGCTCCTGTAAGTCGCTCTGGATAAGAGCGTCTGCTAAATGATGTAAATGTAACATGAAGCTGATGCTAAGAAACGGTTATTTGGCCACAGTCAATGTAGGCTCCAAGTCCACTGACACCACCGGTGTTACTTACAGCACCACGGTGGGCGGTTTCGGGGATGGTTGTGAATCGGGTAAGTAGGTACTAAAGTGCCCAAAGAGTTTTGTCATGTTATGTTGCTGCTAGTAGATGATGATGATGATAAACGAAGATAGCCAGCTATCTATGTGCCATGCAAAACGAACTGGCCCACTCACACGGATCTAGCATGGTGTTTGGGGATGGAATAAGCTAGCTAGCTACAACAACAACTCCAACAGAATACTGCACGTTTTGTAGAAATTAATGGTCAAATACCAATCAGATTTAATGTCATTGTTTATTTCAAGTATGTCTTTATTTTTGCTGAACTGCCTGATCTTCATTGGCCAACATACACTATATACAGTATACAAAAGTATGTGGACACCCCTTCAAATTAGTGGATTTGGCTATTTCAGCTGTTATTGTGAAGTGGAAACGTCTAAGACAGGGGTGTCAAACTCATTTTAGCTCAGGGGCCACATGGAGGAAAATCTATTCCCAAGTGGGCCGGACCGGAAAAATCATGGTATATATACAACTTAAAAACAACAACTTCAGATTGTTTTCTTTGTTTTAATACGATCAACATACAACATAAAGCTGGAGCCTGAGGACAGTGTGTCCAAAATAGTACAAGCACAACATCACTATTAATCATAAAACACCTCAAGTTATTTGAAAGTTCTGAGGACAAAGAACACACAAACACACAATGCCTCAGTGATTCACAGAAGTACATCACAGATCACAGAACTATATCAGGGTGTCATTTCTCAGGCAGAAATGTAGATAAAAATAATGAAATCCTGTTCCCCAAATAAGTGCAAGAACCACAGAGTCAAGAATAGGTTAAATATACAAATAAAATCAATTAAAAACAATAGCACATCAACATAAAAACATATAAACATAAATCTGAAAGCGTTGCTCAAACTCCCGTAACAGTCCAGTTATTTTATCTTTGAACCGCTTCATGTCTGCCACATGTTGGGTCGCGCACACATTTTTCAGACAGGGGAAGTGAGCTGCATCACCACCGGCAAGTTGCGTCTCCCACAATGACAGCTTCAACTTGAAAGAACGTATGCTGTCATAATACTGCGTGACAACTTTGTTGCGCCCTTGCAGCTGTTTGTTCAAGTTATTCAGGTGCTCTGTAACATCCACCATAAATGCAAGGTCCGGCATCCATTCTGCGGAATGAAATTCTAACACTGGTTTGCCCTTTTCTTCCATGAACTGTTCAATTTCTTCTCGTAAATCAAAGAAACGCCTCAGCACAGCACCTCGGCTTAACCATTTTACCTCAGTGTGGTATGGCAGGCCATAGATGTGGTCTTTCTCTCTGAGAAGGCTATCAAACTGACGGTGATTCAGGCTTCTGGATCGGATGAAATTAACAGTTTGGATGACCACCTTCATGACGTTATCCATCTTTAATGACTTGCAACACAAAGCCTCCTGGTGCAAAATACAGTGTAAAGTCAAAAAATCACGTCCTCCATTTGCAGATTGCACTTTCTCTCTGAACTTTGTCACAACGCCTGCTTTTTTCCCGATCATTGAGGGCGAACCATCTGTAGCCAGGCTGACAGCGCGGGACCAGTCCACTCCGACCCTGTCCAGCGCGCCGACGAGTGCGGTAAAAATATCAGCTGCTGTCGTTGTATCTGTCATCGGCACCAACTCCACGAACTCCTCGGTGACGGTCAATGTGTCATCAACTCCGCCGATGAAAAAATGGCCAGTTGTGCAACATCTGTAATGTCCGTGCTTTCATCAATTGCAACCGAAAACGCAATAAATGACTTTACTTTTTGCTTCAACTGGCTGTCCAAATCCACTGAAAGATCGGAAATCCTGTCTGCAACTGTGTTTCTTGTCAGGCTGATATTTGCAAAAGCCTGCCGCTTTTCAGGGCACACAATCTCCGCTGCCTTCATCATGCATGTTTTTACAAATTCACCCTCACTAAATGGTTTTGAAGCCACTGCGATTTCATTGGCAATGAGGTAGCTAGCTTTCACTGCAGCGTCACTGATGTCTCGGCTGTGAGTAAACACAGACTGCTGTTTCTTCAGACCCGCCAACAGTTCATTCACCTTCTCTCATCTCCGCTGTCCTTGAAAGTTGTCATATTTGTCGGCATATATGACGACTTTCATATATGCGACGAAGGTTATATTCTTTCAGCACTGCAACATGCTCTGAACACACCAAACATACAGCTTTCCCATTCAATTCCGTGATTAAATAGGATGACCATTTTTCTTGGAACACTCTGCACTCTGCGTCCACTTTTCTCTTTTTTGACAGAGACATATTGGGGCAATGAGGGTGCCAAAGCACATAATGTTAAAAGTAGAAGCCGTAATAAATATCGCGGGCAAAACAAAGTAGCTCATTGGCTGCACGTGCTTGACCTACTTGCTCTGCCCCGGTATAAACAGTTTGCTTGCTTAACACAATTGCTATTGCGCCATCCAGTGGACGCAATTGGAACAGCAGTTTATTTTATTGAAAAATTGCAGCGCATTTTTATACTTAAAAAAATTATAATTATATATATATATATATTTTTTGTTTCAAAATCATCTCGCGGGCCGGATTAAACCCGTTTGCGGGCCTGATCCGGCCCACGGGCCGTACGTTTGACACCCCTGGTTTAAGAGCAACAATGGCTCAGCCGCGAAGTGGTAGGCCACACAAGAACGGGACTGCCGAGTGTTAAAGCGCATAGGACGTAAAAATCTCTCTGTCCTCGGTTGCCACACACACTACCACGTTCCAAACTGCCTCTGGAAGCAACATCAGCACAAGAACTGTTCATCGGGAGCTTAATGAAATGGGTTTCCATGGCCGAGCAGCCGCACACAAGCCTAAGATCACCATGTGCAATGCCAAGCGTCGGCTGGAGTGATGTAAAGCACGCCGCCATTGGACTCTGAAGCAGTGGAAACGCGTTCTCTGGAGTGATGAATCAAGCTTCACCATCTGGCAGTCCAACTGACAAATCTGGGTTTGGCAGATGCCAGGAGAACGCTACCTGCCCCAATGCATAGTGCCAACTGTAAAGTGTGGTGGAGGAAGAATAATGGTCTGGGGCTGTTTTTCATGATTCAGGCTAGGCCCCTTAGTTCCAGTGAAGGGAAATCTTAACGCTACAGCATACAATTACATTGTAGATGATTCTTTGCTTCCAACTTTGTGGAAACAGTTTTAAGAAGGCCCTTTCCTGTTTCACAAAGCGAGGTCCATATAGAAATGGGTTGTCGATCGGTGTGAAAGGACTTGACTGGCCTGTACAGAGCCCTGACCTCAACCCCATCGAACACCTTTGGGATGAATTGGAATGCTGACTACGAGCCAGGCCTAATCGCCCAACGTCAGTGCCGACCTCACTAATGCTCGTGGCTGAATGGAAGCAAGTCACTGCAGGAATGTTCCAACATCTAGTGGAAAGCCTTCCCAGGAGAGTAGAGGCTGTTATAGCAGCAAATGGGGGACCAACTCCATATTAATGCCCGTGATTTTGGAATGAGATTGTAGACGAGCAGGTGTCCACATACTTTTCGTCATGTAGTGTAACTTGCAGGATATCATGGTAGCCTATGTTTGTGTTAGCCGCACTAAAACCAGGTATAATGGCTAGCTAGTAGTATCACTCAGGTTAGCATGTGACTAGCTATAGCTACCATCGGCCAACAAGAGTTTTAGCCAGTTTGGTTATAGACGTTCAATGTCTACTATGATGGTAAAGGTTTATGTAGATTTTGCCTAACAGTACGAGAAATGCTGATGTGCTGAACTCCTAATAAGTGATGTTTCAAGGCTGCTAGTGGTTAGCTACTAGGGTTAATGTAAATGGGTAGTTATGCTAAAAGCCTGCGCGCTATGTAAGTTTTATATATATATTTTTTGTTTTGTTTGTTGCTGATACAGAATTAAGAAAACACAGGATATGGTCAGATGATAAGTTGGCTTTATGCAGAATATATTTTTCTAAAACAATTGGAGGACTAGGTATGATGTGGGTCTTTACTGTTTTATGTGGACAATGGCTCCACTCCTGCTGTGTATTCACTTGGGTGTTCTTCTCTTGACGTCACTTTTCCGAACGCTTTCCAACACGACTTCGGTCAAATTCAGATGAAAGATACATTTCTCCCAAAATACAAATGTAAAGTGATATGTCGTTTTGGGACTTTTAGTTGGAATGATGAAACAAATCAGAATGTTTAACAGCAACCTAATTCTGAAATCTTCCCTTTAATTTTTTAAAAGGGAATTAAGTTGCCTCCTTGAACCTTCTGATAGCATTTCAGTTTTACATTCCTAGGTCTGAGCACTCTTTCAGCAGTTCAGAACATAGTTGAAATATTAGTTACACTACAACTATGTAATAAACCATGCCTCACATATTTCACATCAATACTGAGTGTGTGCGAGTGAGTGGAACATAGATGTGAAATAGTATCTGTAACTAATGCATCTCTGTCTCATAGAACAGCTGATTACCCTGATCAGTGCTGCAAAGGAGTATGGGATTGAGTTCATCTATGCCATCTCCCCGGGCCTCGACATCACCTTCTCTAGCCAGAAAGAAGTGTCCACACTCAAAAGGAAACTGGACCAGGTAACACAAACCTGTTTTAAAAAATGCAAAAATGCCAGCCATATTGGTCAGGGAGAAATCTAAACCAGTCTAATTGGAATGAATGGCTGTAGAGGCGTAATCATGATTTTACTTACGCAGGAAAATAAAAGTAAGCCGTGAAATCAGAAATGGTGTAATATAATTATTGTCAACCTAAAATATTGTCATATAATTATCAATACAGTTTATACAGGTTTTATACACATTTTCTGTATAAATTGCCTTTAAAATATGTAAACAGACCATAAATGTCTATTTGTGTGTTCTTGGAAAGCTGTGAGTGCTTTTATATGATACAATATCAGTACTTGTTGCATTTACAACTTGTCTAAGTCCTATCAACTGATTTCAGCCAGTGTATGGCTGTGAATTGACTGCATTGTTTGAATGGAATGTTGGCAGTTAATTAGAAAAATGTATGGAGTCATTCCTCAAACTGTCTGGTTTGCTAGCTAACAAACATACAGTGCAGATAAATTCATTATTTTACGCTATCTAATCACAGCACTGGCAAACCATGGTTGACCCACTCCCTGACCAAAAATGGCTGACCTTTATATCATCATAAGGTTCATGTCCATTCTTGTATTCTAATTCCTAATTCTATGGCCTCTACATCCTTGACTGTCTGCACTCACACATTTACCGGCGTCTTAACACATCGTCTCATAATTAATACTCTCCCTCAGGTCACTCACTTTGGCTGCAAGTCATTTGCCTTACTGTTTGATGACATTGACCACAACATGTGCCCCGCCGACAAGGAAGTGTTCAGCTCCTTCGCCCATGCCCAGGTGTCCATCACCAACGAGATCTTTCAGTACCTGGGAGAGCCTGAGACCTTTCTCTTCTGCCCCACAGGTAACACGCATACATACACTCACACAAAATGTTTTGCAATCGAAAACTTGGACAAGTTTATAAGTATCTCCCGGTTTCACTCCTTTTCGGGATGGCTTCTTCGGTTTCGTGCCTACTGAACACGACCCTGGATAACCTGTATCTGTGCATCGATGTGCCCTGTATTTATGTATGTAACTCAAATTTGGGCTGGATTCATAGTTTCTTTGTGTCTCCCTAAACCAGAGTACTGTGGAACGTTCTGCTACCCCAATGTGGCCCAGTCCCCCTACCTGCACACAGTGGGAGAGAAGCTGCTGCCTGGTATTGAAGTGCTGTGGACAGGTACAGTAGATCCGAACAAGTTCATATCCCACATGTTTTGGCACTCATTAGATTAACCTTAAACACTAACAGACCTTGTAACATATCTTATAATATACATTATAACTTTTATGACTCCTACATCTGTGACATTATGTTTCCAGGTCCTAAGGTGGTATCGAAAGACATCACAGTGGAATCCATAGAGGAGGTCTCTAAAATCCTGAAGAGAGCTCCGGTAATCTGGGACAACATCCATGCCAACGACTACGACCAGAAGCGTCTGTTCCTGGGTCCGTACAAGGGGCGCTCCACGGAGCTCATCCCCCGCCTAAAGGGGGTTCTCACCAACCCCAACTGTGAGTTCGAGTCCAACTTCGTGGCCATCCACACCCTGGCCACCTGGTACAAGTCCAACATGAACGGAGTGCGCAAGGATGTCGCCATGAGTAAGTCTGACTTAGACTTTCGTTTTATTCCCAAAATGGAATTCATTTGTCATTTCTGGCACTTTCAGGTACAGTGAAATTACACCTAACATCATCGTCATGTGTAAGTCTGACTGGGATGGACTTTATTTATTTATTCACTTTATTAGATGTATTTTTCAGGGACATTATGTTCTGCAATTTGCCATATTTAGCCTAAAAGGCACATTTCTTAAAGCAGGGTTGTACAGTTTTGGTCCTGGTTTTTATCGTTGTCCTGAACTGGATTATTATTACCAATTTAATGACAAAAATTGATAAATGAAGCTCCACAGAGAAACCAAGAGCAGTAGGACAGGACTAACCCTTGTAGACACCCCTGTCTTAAAGGCTGAGGGTCTTTAGCAGTGTTATGCATTGTTAATCCATGTGTGAATTCCTCAGGTTATCGTGTTGGAGACACGTGTCTATTTGGAGGCCCAGTGAATGTTTGTTTTGGTATTTATAGAGTAGAGTATGGTCACTGACAGTGTCACGCGAGGTACACAAAATGGCTTTCCCCAAGTCTCACGTCTAGGTTTTTAGAATGACACAAAAATATTATATGATCTCGAAAGAGGACAGTATTCTGTCCATTCAGATTACATGGCTTTCAGTTCAATCCAGCCACATTAGTGATTTCTCCAATAGAGGAAGGAGGCACTTTCACAGTATTCAAACAGGCCTGTACATTACACCTTGTAATGGAATCTGTATCGATCCCCCTCCTTCCTTCCCCTTCTCGCCCTTCCTCCCTCTCTCTCCATCCTCCTCTATCCCTCTCTCAGCGGATGGAGAGGACAGTACCTTGTCTATCCAGATCAAGCTGGAGAATGAGGGCAGTGATGAGGAGTTGGAGACAGACATGTTGTACAGCCCTCAGCTGGCCCTGAAACTGGCCCTCACAGAGTGGCTGGGGGAGTTTTTGGTGCCTCACCAGTACAACAGTAAGCACTGTGACTTACCCTATCATCTCTCATATAACACCAGTGTATGTGTTTCTGTTTCCTTACTTCATACTGTATCATTTGGAGCAATGGTAAATGTGTCTCAAAAATCCACCACTGGATTTAAACACTTCTCACTCATGCATTAAAGCTAGCCATGATATTTTTTTAAATAGTGTGTTTATTTGTTATTAAAGCCTTTTTATATCTTTGTCTTGTATGTTGACATTGTCTCTGTTCTTGTCTCCTCTCCAGGTCGCCAGGTACCCCACAGCGGAGCTAAGGGTTCAGCTATTGACGTATCATCACAAGGCGCCTCCTCCCTCTGCTCTGGTACTACAGTCACTACAGTGTTCCAACAGCCCATCATGGCCCCCACAGGTGCCCCCGACCCCAACAACCACCCCATGGCCAAGAGTCTACATCAACAAGAGGTGGAGGAGGTAGTTACTGATTTAACTTAGATCATTTTTTGATATTAGATAGGGTAGAACATAAAGTATGCAATGCACATCCAATGGCTTTGAGTTTGTTTTCTCTTACTTGTCTGTGTTGTCACTCAACTCTCACATTAGTTTACATATGACAAAAAAAACTGATTTCATTACAACTGATTGACGCTAAACACGCAATCGAAAGAGAAAATCCCCATGGGATCACCAAGATAGTGAGGCGATAACTTGTTTTCTAAACGTTTCTGTTGTTCAGCTGGCTGTTGAGAAGGAGTGTGACGAAGAGCCCATGGAGATGGTTGTGGAGAAACTAGATGAGACGGGCCCAGAACCAGACCCTGTAGCAGAGGCTGAAACTGAGACCAAGAACAGCCTGGTCCTTTTAGACAACATGGTGGAGGAGCTGAAGCCCATGGACACAGACAGGGAGGTCCTAGTTCCAGAGTCCAGGTCTCTAGAGGAGGACGTTGACATGGCCCCCATGCAGACAGACGAACAGCTCAAACAGGTAAGACATTTGTGTGTGTGTGTGTGTGTCAGACCTGGGTTCAAATACATGTGTATTTGATTAATTATTTGTTATTTAAATACTTATGTTCTGTGTATTTTAGTATTTTCAGTTATTATTTTCAAATGTGGCCCTAATCAACTACTGCTATTGGAATTTGAAAAGTATTTAAAAGTATTTTCAAAACAATTCCTATAAATAGTCTAATATTTGAAACTATATTCAAATACTTATTTCCAAATACATTATGGGAGTAGTGTTGTCACGATACCAACATTTTACTAACGATACCAGGCCAAGTGTCATGATACCGAGTAGTATCGCAATACCACGGGGGGGGGGGGGAATTCTGTGGCCTAGCGTCCTGTTCGCCCCTTCCCCTGGACGCTTGTTCCCGATGGATTTTAAAGAACTGATTGGGTCACTACTTGACACCAAACACCACATAATATCTGGCCCTCTGCACTCCCTAAACCGTGGCGTTGAACGGTTCAGCAGACTTTTAGCCCTCCATAACTGGCTACAAGACTATTGCAGCTCTGTGGGTGTAACATTTATTGACAATTTTGATACCTTCTGGAAACAAAGCTCGTATTATAAGGAGGATGGGATCCACCCAAATAATTTGGTTTCCTGGATCCTTTCACAGCATTATAAGGCTGCGTTGAGACAATTACTTATCAATGACCCAAGTCCAGCTCATTTAATCCCTACCATTGTGTCGCTGAGTTGTCATAATGCATCAGCAAATGTACATTATCCTAGGGGCGTTGGAAGACACAATGTAGATAACCTAATTTATGTCCCTCTAACTGCCCGGAATGCCTCTGCTGATCCTACAGCTATTGTATGCATTAATCATATGCCTATGAACCAGAGTAATACTGTTAGCACTGAGGTGGTGTGCCCTAGTAGGAAGTACACTGTGTGCAGCTCACCCTGCACTAATAAAAATAACCAGAGTATGTCTACCTCTGCTAAGCTTCCCAGTAAAGCAAGAAAAATAATCAAGCATCACAGAAAAGTTTTAAAAATAGCCCACATTAACATATGTAGCTAAGAAACAAGGTTCATGAAATCAATAATTTGCTAATAACAGATGACATTCATATTCTGACAATCTCTGTAACTCACTTAGATAATACCTTTGAAGATACAGTGGTAGCAATACAAGGTTATAACATTTGCAGAAATGCCAAAGGGGGCGGTCTTCCGGTCTATATTCTGAACCACATCCCTGTAAAGCTTAGAGAGGATCTCATGTTAAATACTGTTGAAGTAATATGGCTACAGGCTCACCTGCCTCACCTAAAGGATTCAATAAGTTCTACAGCTGCACCATCGAGAGCATCCTGACTGGTTGCATCACCGCCTGGTATGGCAACTGCTCGGCCTCCGACCGCAAGGCACTACAGAGGGTAGTGCGTACGGCCCAGTATATCACTGGGGTCAAGCTTCCTGCTTTCCAGGACCTCTATACCAGGCGGTGTCAGAGGAAGGCCCTCAATATTGTCAAAGACTCCAGCCACCCTAGTCATAGACTTTTCTCTCTGCTACCGCATGGCAAGCGGTACCGGAGCGCCAAGTCTAGGTCCAAAAGGCTTCTCAACAGCTTCTACCTCCAAGCCATAAGACTCCTGAACAGCTAATCATGGCTACCCAGACTATTTGCACCCCCACCCCATCTTTTTACGCTGCTGCTACTCTGTTAATTATTTATACATAGTCACTTTAACTCTACCCACATGTACATATTACCTCAACTACCTCAACTAGCCGGTGCTCCCGCACATTGACTCTGCACCGGTACCCCCCCTGTATATAGCCTCCCTACTGTTATTTTATTTACTTCTGCTCTTTTTTTCTCAACACTTTTTGTTTTATTTTACTTTTTTTATTAAGAAATAAATGCATTGTTGGTTAAGGGCTGTAAGTAAGCATTTCACGGTAATGTCTACACCTGTTGTATACGGCGCATGTGGCAAATAACATTTCATTTGATAAAGCCCATTCCGGTGGGAAGCTGCTATAGACCACCAAGTGCTAACAGTCAGTATCTGGATAATGTGTGAAATGCTTGATAATATATGTGATATCAATAGAGAGGTATACTTTCTAGGTTATTTAAATATTGACTGGCTTTCATCAGGCTGCCCACTCAAGAGAAAGCTTCAAACTGTAACTAGTGCCTGCTAGTGTCAGGTTATCAATCAACTTACCAGGGTAGTTACAAACAGTACAGGAATGAAATCATCATCATGTATTGATCATATCTTTTACCAATGCTGCAGAAATTTGTTTGAAAGTAATATCCAAATCCATCGGATGTAGTGATCACGATATAATATTGTGTATGAGGTCATACAATAAGTTTTGTAGTATTCCTATGTTGTTGATGTGAAGAATATTTGTTGGTACTTGGTGTGTAATGACGAGCAACCAGACGGTGCACTTGACACATTTATGAAATTGCTTATCCCAGTTAGTAATAAGCATGCACCCATTAAGAAGATGACGGTAAACTGTTGAATCCCAGTGGATTGTTGAGGAATTGAAAAATGGTATGGTTGAGAGGGATGAGGCAAAAGAGATGGCAAATAGGTCTGGCTGTACAACCGATTGGCAAACGTACCGCAAATTGAGAAATATGTGACTAAACTGAATTCAAAGAAGAAACTAGTTATTCCCCTACCTAAGAATAGTAAAGCCCCCTTAACTGGCTCAAATAGCCGACCAATCAGCCTGTTACCAACCCTTAGTAAACTTTTGGAAAAAATTGTTTGACCAGATACAATGCTATTTTACAGTAAACAAATTGACAAGACTTTCAGCACGCTTATAGGGAAGGACATTCAACAAGCACAGCACTTACACAAATTATTGATTGGCTGAGAGAAAATGATGATAAAAAGATTGTGGGGGCTGTTTTGTTAGACTTCAGTGTGGCTTTTGACATTATTGGTCATAGTCTGTTGCTGGAAAAACGTACACTACCGTTCAAAAGTTTGGGGTCACTTAGAAATGTCATTGTTTTCGAAAGAAAAGCAATTTTTTTGTCAATTTTAAAATAACATCAAATTGATCAGAAATACAGTGTAGACATTGTTAATGTTGTAAATGGCTATTGTAACTGGAAACGGCTGATTTTTTAATGGAATATCTACATAGGCATACAGAGGCTCATTATCTGCAACCATCAGTCCTGTGTTCCAATGGCACGTTGTGTTTGCCATTCCAAGTTTTTATAATTTTAAAAGGCTAATTGATCATTAGAAAACCCTTTTGCAATTATATGAGCACAGCTGAAAACTGTTGTGCTGATTAAAGAAGCAATAAAACTGGCCTTCTTGAGACTAGTTGAGTATCTGGAGCATCAGCAATTGTGGGTTCGATTACAGGCTCAAAATGGCCAGAAACAAATAACTTTCTTCTGAAACTTGTCAGTCTATTCCTGTTCTGAGAAATGAAGGCTATTCCATGCGAGAAATTGCCAAGAAACTGAAGATCTCGTACAATGCTGCACAGAACAGTGCAAACTGGCTGTAACCAGAATAGAAAGAGGAGTGGGAGGCCCCGGTGCACAACTTTTTAAAATTATAAACTTGGATTAGCAAACACAACGTGCCATTGGAACACAGGACTGATGGTTGCTGATAATGGGCCTCTGTACGCCTATGTAGATATTCCATTAAAAATCAGCCGTTTCCAGCTACAATAGCCATTTACAACATTAACAATGTCTACGCTGTATTTCTGATCAATTTGATGTTATTTTAACGGACAAAAACATTGCTTTACTTTCGAAAACAAGGACATTTCTAAGTGACCCCAAACTTTTGAACGGCAGTGTATGTGTTATGGCTTTATACCCCCTGCTATATTGTGGATAAAGAGTTACCTGTCTAACAGAACACAGGGTGTTCTTTAATGGAAGCCTCTCCAACAAAATCCAGGTAGAATTAGGAATTCCCCAGGGCAGCTGTCTAGGCCCCTTACTTTTTTCAATCTTTACTAACGACATGCCACTGGCTTTGAGTAAAGTCAGTGTGTCTATGTATGCGGATGACTCAACACTATAAATGTCAGCTACCACAGCAACTGAAATGACAGCAACACTTAACAAAGAGCTGCAGTTAGTTTCAGAATAGGTGGCTAAGAAGAAGTTAGTCCTAAATATTTCAAAAACTGAAAGCATTGTATTTGGGACAAATCATTCACTAAACCCTAAACTTCAATCTAAATCTTGTAATTAATAATGTGGAAATTGAGCAAGTTGAGGAGACTAAATTGCTTAGAGTTACCCTGGATTGTAAACTGTCATGGTCAAAATGTATTGATACAACAGTAGCTAGGATGGGGAGAAGTCTGTCTATAAAAAGGAGCTGCGCTGCATTCTTAACAGCACTATCAACAAGGCAGGTCCTACAGGCCCTAGTTTTGTCGCACCTGGACTACTGTTCAGTCATGTGGTCAGGTGCCACAGGGGGACTTAGGAAAATTGCAATTGGCTCAGAACAGGGCAGCATGGCTGGCCCTTGGATGTACACAGGAGCTAACATTAATAATATGCGTGTCAATCTCTCCTGGCTCAAAGTGGAAGAGATTGACTTCATCACTACTTGTATTTGTGAGAGGTATTGACATGTTGAATGTACCGAGCTGTCTGTTTGAACTACTGGCACACAGCTCGGTCACCCATGCATACCCCACAAGACATGCCACCAGAGGTCTCTTCACAGTCCCCAAATCCAGAACAGACTATGGGAGGCGCACAGTACTACATAGAGCCATGACTACATGGAACTCTATTCCACATCAAGTAACTCAGGCCAGCAGTAAAATTAGATTTAAAAAAACGATTAAAAATACACCTTATGGAACAGCAGGGACTGTGAAGCAACACAAACATAGACACATGCATACAAACACACGATAACGTACGCACTATAAACACATGT